GAGAAGCTGCTGTAATGCCGCAGTCCGGTGTGGGAGGCCGAAGCACAGCTGCTCTGGTCTTTTATCCGCACCGTAAAGGCCCTGGGTCAGGGCAGTGCTCAGGAAACGTGCCCGCTGCTCAGATGGAGGCTGTGGCGTGTCTGCATTGGCTTTCTTCACACAGCTGCAGTTTGTGGTGAGCAGGGAGACACAGGAGATAAGGCGTCCTCTTCCTGGACAGTGAGCGGGAGGATGGGCCTCTTCAGAGGAGAAGGGGGAGGCGAGGCGGGGCCGCTGCTCTGTGCGGCCAGGGCGGCAGGAGCCCCAGCAGCGACGTGACCGGCGCAGGCCCCGCCTCTCTCTGCCCCCTGTCCGCTTTTGCTGCCTTCTGTGTAGCAGGGAAACCCCGCGGCAGTTACCCTTGTCCCTGCTTTACTTTGCTCAGCGTCCCCCTTCCAGCCCCATCCATGTGGCCACAGACGAGCCGTCTTTCGGATCGCCGAGTAGTGTCCCACTGTGTAGTGATGCGGCCCTCGTGATCGTTTGGGAGCCCGCAGAGGGCACGAGGGCCGCGGCTAGATCCCGGGTGCTCACTTAGGGCCATCCCCCTTGTGTCCTGTCTTGAGCAAATGCACCCCTCCGGCCCTGCGAAGACTGCTTTTGCTCTCGTCTAGAGAGAGGAAGCGCTCAAAAGCGGCCTCCCTCGTGGGGCCTTGCCCCAGCTCGCCCCGTGTTACCTATCCGGCTGCACTCACGTTTAAGCGGCTTGCTCTCAAAACGGCAGAGCACGTATTTCAGGCTTATTGTCAACTTTCATTCCTATATCAGTAGCCTCCAAAAAACAAGAGTACAGCAGCCCCTTTCTGGTCTGTGCTCGTCTGTTTGCTGACCAGAGGACTCGGACGCATCTCGTCTGGTCAGCCAGGATGCTGGCGGTTGAGGAAGGCAGCCATCTTTGGCTGGGAAAGCAGACGCCGCTCTAGGTATGTCAGTGTGAAGGAAATGAGAGAGAGTTGCGGCTTGCACAGCTACTGCAAGGGCCGTGAAACGAAGAGGGGAGAGGCCTCTGCCAGGAGACAGGCCGCACAGGGCCGCGGGAGCCGCCGGCAAGGAGGCCTGTTGCCACGGACCTGACCTGCCACGGGAGCGGAGGAACGCCTGCAACCCAGGCAGGCCAGGCCGCGGTCTGTCTGCAGCTCCCATCCTCGAATGAACTATGTCGGCGCTGCTGCTGCCCCCTCTGGCGGGCCGTGGCCAGCGAACGGTGCTGGCCAGCCTCGGCGCTAAGAGCAGCCACTCTCCCGTCCTGCCCCTCCGCAGGGCCACGTCCCCTCACTGCGGTGGCTGCCAGGCCAGCCCTCTCCCCCAGCACACGCCTCCCAGCTGTGGCGGCTGCGCCTGCCTCTGTCTCCCAGGTAGGCTGCAGGACGGGACCGTGCTCACCAGCCCAGACCCTGCTCGGCCGTGAGCCCATCGCTGCCTGCAAGTCTCTGGACACGTTCACAGTAAACGTACTCTTGAGTCTTCCAGGGAAACAAAAGCTGACACAGTACATAAACACTAGGCTAACCGTGCAAGAATGGCTGCATGTGCAACAACTGAAACGCAAGAATGCTCATTAGTAACAGGAGAAGACATTAAAGTGTAAATCTCACTGGAAAAGTCCGTCAATAAATCCGAGTGGACTCACAATACAGTATGTAAATCACTTCTACTCTAGGATGAGGGTAAAGGACAAAAGTATTAAAAAGAACTAAGTGCTTTGCTAATGATTGCACCATATAAAATGCTGAAATTGTGATAATCAAGCAGAATATGTGGTGGGGTGTGAACAGAGATCACGCGGATACACTCAAAGTTCAGCTGATAGGAATTCGCAAGACCGTTTCACGTAGCTGTATATCACACACTGGTGTTTCATGGAAAGTACGCAGCGAGCACCAGCTCGCAGTAGATGTACAGAAAGGAAAAGAGAGACGAGTCAAAGAGAACACGAGGAAGCAACAAAGGAATTACCAAAAAGGTAAAAAAAAATAACTGGCAGCAAGGGGTCCGGAGCTGTCACTAGTCACTGCACGCGGACTACTTCGCTGGTCCAGGCAGAGGACGGCTGACGGGGCAGGAAGCGCCGCCTCCTGCGTGCGCCCGAGGGACTCGCTGAGCTGCAGGCGCTAGTGAAAGTGAAAGGACAGTGCAGGAGTCATGCGGTGGAAACCGACACTCGCTTCACACGGAGAAAGTCGCAGTCGACAAATACGGTCGCTTGAAATGATAAAGGGCCAGTTCACCCAGGGCACCAGGCTGCCGAAGTCACGCGCCGCTGCGGGAGCTCCGCGGTCAGTGCAGCCTCTGTGCACGGGCCCGAAGGGACACCGCATCGCGACGCGGCACGGCGGCTCGGGCCTCCGCTCCCCAGGCGGGAAGGCGGCCAGGGCGAAGCGCGCTTACAATGCTCGCCCACAGCGGCCTGAGACACGCAGAACAGCCGCCCACCTGCGCTCCTCTCTCCCCTCGAGTCCCCCGAGGGACCTCACCAGGCAAACAGGCGCACTGAGTGCAGACAGTAACTACGGATAGAAAATACAAAATTCACAAATACGTGGAGTCAGTATGATGTTCGGGAACAACCAGCAAATAAAATTGCAAGTGCAATGTGCGAAAATCATAGAGGCATGAAAATCAGTCCTAAGATCAGAGTTCATAGTGAACACCTATGTGAACAGAAGGAGAAAGATCGCAAATAAACCATCAAACTTTGCGCACGATGGGAGTAAAAAAAGAATTAAGCCAAAGTTGTTAGAGAACTGAAATAACAAAGATCACAGAGGAAACGGGGAAAAACATTTATGAAACGGGGAGCTGGTGTTTTAAAAAGACACGAAGCAAACCTTAGGTAGACTTAGCAAGAAAAAAGAGAGGGCGCTCGAAACCGGGTGAGGGAATCCGGAGCCGTGACGACCGACGCCACGAAAGCTCAGGAGCTCACGACAGGCTGCTGTCCACAGTCCGGTGCCAGCAGAAGTGATCCCCTAAGGCCAAGTTCCTGGAAACAGGTGACCTGCCAGGTGAGCGCCATGACCAGGAGGAAAGCTGACCAGCAGTGAGCGGGAAGGAGGGTGAGGCTAATGAAAGCCACTGAGGACAGACCCCGGGCCAGATGGCGAGCTGGTGAGTTCTGGCAAACGTGGACCGAGGACTGGAGGCCGGGACTGCCAGGTGGTCCCCAAACACGGAGCAGCTGGGCACGCTCCCACCCACTGCGAGGCGGCGCTGTCCCGAGATGGGCACCGGGGCCCGGCGGGCAGACGCCGCGGTGTGGACCGCTGCTGGGGGCGAGGACGCAAAGACTCTCAGAAATGTGAGGAACATGAGCTCAGCGCGGCCCACCCGAGCACGCAGCTTACTTCGTGCTCAGGTGCAATTTTCCTGGGTCCGGGGCGATGCCACATCTGTGTGTTGATCAGCGTGACATGCCACATTAACAGCGCGGAGGGTGAAGATCATGAAATTGTCTCAGTAAGGGCTGGAAAGCGTTTGGCAAAATGCAACAGCTTTTCATTCTAAAGACTCAACCCCTGGGGCGTACAGGAAACACCGCAGCATCAGGCGGAAGAGTGAAGCCAGACCCCTCGCTGTTTCCTACACAAAAATTCATTTGAACATAAGACCTGAAACCATAACTCTCCTGGGGGAAAACGTAGGGGTGACCTCCTTGACATTGGTCTTAGCAATGATTTTTTAATTTAATAACAAAATCAAAGGCAATGAAAGCAAAACCCGGCCCTCCCTGGTGGCGCAACGGGTGAGGACGCAGCACTCTAAGCTGGCCGCAGCCACTTCAGTGCAAGTTTGATCCCCGGCCCGGAGGTGACCACATGGCGGGCAGACCTCTCCTGACCCGCCCGCTGCTCCTTCAGCCATGTACCTCGTGGATCTGCCTGTTCTGCTCCCCGCTCTGTCTCTGGTGAAGCCTCTCACCGCCCCTGCATCTTTGGCCTGTGCCCCAGTTCTGTGTGCGTAAAAAATAGATTAAAAAAAAAAAGGCCAACGCGAGGAACCCACGGACCGGATGGAAAGCAGCCTACGGAACCGAAGAGAGCACGTGCAGACCACGTATTCAGTGCCCATTTAGTATTCTGAACACGCTAGGCTCTCCTATCACTCGATAGTAAAAGCCCAAATAACCCATTTCTAAAACTTCCCACCACGTGGCGTCAGGTGTGCATGGGGCTTCCACACCGCAGCGGGCAGGATGGGGCGCCAGGGCCGGGGTCGGGAGAGGGCGCGGATGAACACGACGTCGGTGTCTGGAGCGGGCGGCGGTGACTGGAGTGGGCAGTGCTGGCTCGCTTTCAGGGGCGTGGCGTTAGGTGACGAGGAGGGCAAGTCGGCGGGGGTGGACGCGCCTCGACGGCAGGTGCTTCTGCCACAGATCGCGCATGCGTGTTCACCCCGTACGCCTGTTCTAATGTCCCGAATACACCCGCAGTCGCTCCTCCCAGAGTCCTCCGCACCTTCGCCTCAGGATGGAAGTGTGCTCAGTAGTGGCGGTCATGCGGCGCAGCTGAGTTCTGCTCTACAGAAACTTCGCTCACAGTCGCAGGCGTCTTGGTTTCTTGTCACCATCCTCCCTGTCGCCTGAGGCCCAGCTGTTGCCTTGGTAGCATGATGTGCACTTGTGCGCCAGGCCGGGAGCGGTGCGTTTCTCTGAGCTTCATGTCGTTCCCTCTGGGGCACGCGGCCTCCAGGCTCCCGCACACGTCTGCACCGGGGGTACTGCCAGGCGGAGCATGGGCTTCCCGCGCAGAAACACCCTGCAGTGCATCCCTGGCCTTGTCTGTCCCGGGGAGGGGCAGATCACGTGGGTAAGAAGCCGGCGCTGTTACCTTCTGCCCAAGCACCGCTCGTCTCTCACCGCAGCAGGCCAACAGACTACTAGGAAAGAAAGTTTCAGGTGTGTCACGGCCGACAGCTAGAACGGGCGCCTCACCACACAACGGTGCAGCCACGCGGCGCGGAATATGCTGACGAGCGATGCTGCCGACTCGCAAAGTCGGCTGCAGCTCTTGTGGCTCAGGTGGGCTGGGTTTTTGCACCGCTACCTTTTTTAAATAAGGAAAACGCTGTTTCCTTTCCATCACCCCTAACTTTGAAGAGGTTTATTTGTTTACTTACTCTTCGCCTTTTCACTGAGGTAACACCAGGCCCCAGGAGCACGCTCTCCCAGCTCAGCGACCGCACAGACAGACACGCCCGGACGGGGCGTCCCCAGCCCCGGCCATCCCGTCACCGCCGGTCGGCTGTCGCAGGCGAGGGTTTCTCTTCAGGGCTCGGTTGTTTGTTTCTAGTTCCCTTCCAGTCCACAGATGAGCGGACAGATGGCATCATTTGCTGTGGGTCTTTTGGCTTCCGACATTTCACGCGGCGTTTTCCTCTCAAGAGCCACCCGTGTGGTGGAAAATTTGTGGATGAGAAAACCAAAGGCCGACAGCTTAGGCCACCTGCAGGTGGACGTGACGAGCACGCGTGGCCGCAGGTGGCAGTGGCCCGCCCCCGTCTCGTGGCCGGCCGTGGTGTCTGAGGCATGTGAGAAGGGACCAAAGCAAACCTCGCCCCCGCCCTGCGCAAGGCACCAAGCTCTGGTCGTGCGGGGTGCGCCTGGCTCTGCGGGCGGGGCCCCTAGGGCGGGCGGTGGGCGCGGCTCCCGCCGAGCCTGATTCTGTGCCTGGGAAGATGCCACTTGCTCTTACTACTTATAACAGTGAGTCCAGTGTCACCTCGTTCTCTTTGTTTTCAAGTGTGAGCACACTTGAGAGAAGACGCACCCAGCATGCAACAGGCGCTTTCTGTCTGAACACAGCACGGGCCGAGTGTCCGCAGAATTCCCCAGTGGCTCCCCCCAAGGGGCGGGCGCTGCTGGGCTCCTGCCGGACTCCGAGGAGGGGCGGCTCCCTGGGGCCCGCCACGAGCGGCCGTGGCAGCCTCGGCAGGTGGGCTGGGCAGACCAGGCAGCAGTACAAATAGACTCCGCGCATGAAGGAAGGACGTTAAAGAGGCCCCTTGGGCAGGCGGGGTCAGGGCCTGATGTCCAGCGTTGCTCAGCGCACAGGGGCTTCCCGGCCTCCGCTCCCAGCTGGCTTCACCCCTCAGGATCAGCCGCCGGGACGTGGCCGTGGCGTCCCAGCTCCCGCGGCCCCTTCTCTCTAAGGTGCTGGGCAGGTCACGAGTCATCAGGTCATCGGGGACAAGGCCAGTAGCCTGTCCTGCCCCCAGACTGAGGGTCCTCAGGCGCTCGCCCAGGCCCAACGCTTCGGCCCCAGTGGGATTGAGTAGGTCGGCCTTTGGCAGTGAGTCAAGTTCATCTACTTTTATTTTCTTCTCAGCTTGTTTTCCGGTGAGGAGTGCGAGCCAGGGGCCGGGCTGGGCAGCCTGCGTCACAGATACCCTGAGGGGCGCGCGTCACGGTGGGTGGGGCGGGGCTCTGCCCGTTGCCTCCCGCGAGGACGGGGAGCTGGCCACCCAGTCCGCAGGAGAGCTTGGCCAGGCGTCCGGGCGCTGAAGCGAGCGCCTGCCCGTATTCTTCAGCCCGCTGCCCTGCGTGACCTCGCGGCTGGCCCGCGGTGGCCGTCTGCTGCGAGTTGCAGCCCCGGCTCTGCGGCGGCCCCGAAGCTCTCCTCGCCGACGGCGGCGGCGGCCGGCGGTGTGTCCCCAGGCTGCGAGTGTCCTGCGAGTGACCCGCCCGGGACGTCAGCGCTGTCCCGTCAGCTCGGCCAGCGCCGTGGCCCGTGGAGCCCCGTGGGGCGCGGCGTTTGGGTGCGGGGGTCCCCGAGAGCCGCCGGCGCCGTCTCCTCGGCTGGCGGCGCTTCCTGGCTGGCTTCTTACTCTTCTCCTTCGGCTGTGTTTGTATTTTTACTTCAGCCCCTCGCTCTTCCAGATTGTGTGAGTATTTTCTCCCACTCAGGCTGTCTTTTTCGTCTTCTTATATTTTCTTTCCTATGCGGACGATAATGGCAGCTGTTTGTTTTTGCTTCTGTGGCCCTTGCTGTGGGGGCGGAGTCCCCGGAGCTCTCTGGCTGGTGCCCGGCACACGGGGCCACGTTCTCCCGTGCGCTCCGCTGTAGGCCGTGCGGCCAGGGCTTCGGGCCGTACACGTGTGCGCCGGCGTCCTGAAGGGGCCCGCCAGGGTGCTCTTCACCTGACGACCCGCGTGTGGGCGTCCGCCCTGAGCCCCGCCACAGCCACCCCACGCAGGCGTGGGCGCGGGAGCCCCA